TTTGATTTAATATTTGGTGCAATAGGTTGAAGATGACTAAATAAATGGTATGCAAAATAATACCATTTCAGTGAAATGGATTGAAAATGGCCTACAGAATGTGTATGAGATGACAAGTTACTAACAAATGTTTGAAGTGATTCAATTTAGCAATCGTTTAAGTCCCATTTTTATGTTAAAATGAATTTTAAAATAGTGATTTTTTTTTTTTTTTTTGAGAATGTGTGGTTAAAAGTAAGGAAAAATTTTGGGTTTACGTGTAAATTATTTTATTGATAAAATACGTGGTTAAAAATGAGTATGAGAAAAAATGAATTATTGGATAATAGGGATCAAACGGGAAATTAGTAAATGTTTGAAGTGATTCAACTTTGTCATTTGGCGATACATTGGAAAACGAACCAAAGTACTATGCACGTTCTTGATAAAAATCAAAGAGTAACGCTATGTAGCCAATATCACATAAATTGATGCTCAAAGTTACATTTGCCTTACATAACATTATTCAAAATTAAATTATGTCCTTAGGTGACAAGTCATAATTGAAAATAAACAAATTGCGTTTCATAGATTATGCTATATGTACATAAAAATTGACATGTTGATTTACACCTATGTGAGTTGACAGATTTTGGTACATCGATCTGGACAATACCTATTTCCACCACCAAAGGAAAAAAAAACAAGAAAAATAATTTAAAAGAAAGAAGTTGACAGAGCCGACAGGTGATAATGAATGGATGAGGGAGAGACAGGCCCCCCTTGTGTCATTCTTCTATTAAATCAAATCTTTTTAATTGATTTGATTTATTTGATTTGATTTGCCAACACTACAAACATCGAATCTTTTTTCTTTTTAATTTTATTTAGAATGAGATCACCCCCGTTTGACACCCATTCTCTTTCTCATTTTTTTTCTCTTTTTTCATTTCAATCACGCATTCTATCAATAAAATAATATTACACATAAATCCAAAATTTCTTCTTATTTTTTCAACCACACATTCTTCCCATNCTTCTCATTCTCTTTTTCATTTTTTTCTCTTTTCTTATTTCAACTACACATTCTATCAATAAAATAATATTACACATAAACCCAAAAATTCTCCTTACTTTTTAACCACACATTCTTCCATCAATCACTATTCCAGAATTTATTCTTCACCAAAATGGGTATCAAACACACCCCAAATTGGTCTAATTTAGACCCTGCTTGGTACACATTTTTTCAAAATATATTCATTCAAAATTCATTTTTAATAACTTATTTTTCAATAAAATAATATTTTTTTATCACATCAATAATTTTTTCTTACTTTTTAACCACATATTTCTCATCATATTACTATTTAAAATACATTCTTTCCTTAATAATATCTATCAAACACACCCTTAGAACCTCTCTGATATAAATTTCTTGAGAATAAATTTGGTAAAAAAATAATTTTTAAATAATGTACCCAGAAAAGTAACGAGTTCACGTGCAAAATTATTTTTATCGAGAGAGCGTATATTTGAAAAAAATGCGTTTGTTGAAAATAAATTTTAAAGAACTTCTATCAAACATGATTTAGAATCTCACTGACATACCCCTGTTTGGCCCCCTTTAAATTCCATTACATTACATTAAATTTTTCCCTCTTTATTACAACCACACATTCATCAAATAAAATAATATTACACACAAATCTAAAAATTTTCACTGCTTTTCCACCATACATTCTCTCATCAATCAATATTTCAAAAATTTTCAACCATAAAAAATGCACAATAATTGATTTGTTTCAAATAAAGTTGATGATGCATTTTTATTTTTTAACTCGACTCATTAAAAGTTCAATCAAAATTCAACTATTTTGTCGAGCTAAGTTTAACTATAAAGATCCATAGGCTTATTTCATCATTATTATAGAAATTTGAAAAATGTCTAAGATATAATTTCATGTTTTGAGCGATAATTTAGAGAATTCATACATATTTATTGAAATAAAAATTACAAAAACATCCCATAAAGTTTGTTTCTCCCTTTTTTTAACTCGGAAGTATATTTTTATTTCCTCATTTACCATTAGTTTTTTTTAATATAATTTGATACTAACCTTGATTATTCTTTTTTCTCACTTCTTAATTTGTGTGATATTATCGAATAAAATTAAATTTTTTAACGTTATTTTTTGGACTCTTATAGTGATAACAACAAGGTGGAGGATGGGCAGACTGCAGATTTGAACTTTAAAAACCGAAATCTAAAGGACATGAAAATCACAATTCAAAATAAAATAAAAATATGTGTGCTGGGCTCAAATTTGCAGGCTGAATATTCTGGTTGATTATGGGCCTAAGATAACTGTAAAAATAGACTAGGTCATGGGAGGACCCAGCACCCGGCTAGGGGGCGCGATCGCCCTGCTGGATCCGTCGGAGTCTTCAATACCGTCGAGCGTCAAGTCACCGTTGCTATTGCAGAGAGAAGACGGGAAGAAGATTGTCATACTAATTTCAACCATTACTTTGCATCAAGATTATGGAATAGTCCAGCATTTCCACATTATTCAAAGGCCGTAACCCATGTTATTTCAACACTGGGGGTGATGGTAATTGATTTGACAAAATGGAGAGCTCACAAGTACACAGAAAAACTCGAATACTGAATGATAATTCAAAATAGGTACATAATCTATGAATTGAATGCTTGTTTGGTAGAAATTTTTGGG